CCTCCCCCTCCTCCACAACCCCCTCTCCGCCACCCCCGCCACTCCCCGCGGTCCCTCTGGGCTTCTGGGTGGGCAGAGTAGCCCTCTGACATCCATGGGGAAATCAAGGCTCAGAGAAGGGACAGGCTTGCTCAGGGTCACACAGCAAATTGGCCAGAGTGTAGCAGCCAAACCTGCACTCCCGCCAGGACTGGGCTTCCCCCGTGTGTTCCATGGGGACGCGGACGTGCCTGGTGCCCATGCCGGCTTCCCGGCCTGTGGGACAGGGATTCCCTCCTGGCTCTGAGCCCTGCTGGCTGCGGTGGGTTGGGAGTGGGCACCCGTGTCCCCTCCTCAGCAGCAATGCAGTCACAGCCACAGAGGGTGCGGCTGAGCCCAGGGCCAGACCTAGTGTGAGATCCTGGGCTGCTTCTCCTGGAATACTGAGTACAATTCCGGGGGCGCTGGGCCCGGGGGTGCTTGTGGACCGGTTTTAAGGAAGGGCTTTTGTCGTTGAATCATCACAGGACTATTTATGTAGCCTGTTTCTCCTTGTGCGGTGCTCGCAGTGTCGTTTCTCTAGGAACATGGCCAGTTCCTCTGCATTTTCGGATTTATTGGCATAAAGTTTATAATTTCCTCATTTCAACTTTATGTAGAATTTAAACATTTTTGGGGAAAGGTACAAATCGTATGCGTGTAGCTGGATGCATTTTCCCAAAGTGGACACAGTGGTGTAACCAGTACCCCTTATCCTCACCAGAGGCCTCTCCCCCGCTGGTCTGCCCCCTCCCAAAGGGCTTCCAACACCAGTGCACCTGTGAACTGTGTGCAGCGGGTTCTGTTTGAGCTCTTTATGTCTAGCTCTATTGCAGCACTAAGTTTGTGAAATTCACCCACACTGTCTGTGGACGCAGTTCATCGGACAGAGACTCCCAAGTTTTTTTCATTCTACTGGTTTTTTTGGCGGTGCTGCACATCATGTGGGATCTTACTTCCCGACCAGGGGTTGAACCCGTGTCCCCTGCATTGGATTCTTAACCACTGTGCCACCAGGGAAGTCCCTAATTTAATAATTTTAACAATTAATCAGTTGTTTCCTTTTGGGCTAGCAGTTGTCTGTGTCCTGGTTAAGAATTGTTTCCCTATCCCCAGTGTCATTTCGGTTTATCTTCCGGAAACTGTATCGTTAAACTTTGGATCTGCAGTCCACATGAAATTAATAACTTCCTGGGGCTGACCTAGGGGTCGATATCAACATTATTCCCTGTGAATTTCCAGTGGACCCCACACTGCTGACTGAAAAGATCGTTACTTTCCCACAGCGCTATATCTGTATGAGTCTGGTTCCGGGACCTTTGTTTTGTGCCATTGGTTTTATTAATAATTTGCATTTCCCTGACGACTAAAAAAGTTGACCATCTTTTCCGTGCTGACTGGTACATCTTCTTTTGTGAAGTGTCTGTTTAAATCTTTTGCCCACTTCTAATTGAGGTTTTTTAAATTTTTTGTCTTTCTATTGATTTGCAGAAATTCTTCTGGATGCAAGTTCTTTGTCAGATATATTGAATTGCCTTTTCATTTTCTAAAGAATGTCTTTCAAGACTAGAAGTATTTAATTATGATGAAATATGATTGATCAGATTTTCTTTTATGATTCACACCTTTTGTATCCTGCCTAAGAAAACACTGCCTCCCCCAAGGTGGTGAAGAATTTCTCCTCTGTTTTCTTCCAGAAGTTATATAGTTTTAAGTTTTACATTTAGCTCTATGATTCATTTTGAGTTAATTTTTACATGTGCTATGTTGTAAGGGTCTAGGGTTTTTTTCCCCAAATAAATATCCACTTGTCCCAGCACCATTGTTGAAAAGACTACTATTTTTCTATTGAAATAATTTGGCTGCTTTGTTAAAAATTCATTGATCTTACAAAGTGTGGGACTATTCTGGAATTTCTATTCGTTTTCACTGATATTTGTGGTTATACTGTACCGTCTTGATTCCATTGAGAGTCAGAGAAAATACCTAGTTGATTTGAAATGGTCTTAATTATTTTAAATTTACTGAGACATTTAAATGAGCCAGCATATGATCTATCTTGGTGAATGTCCCATGTGCACTTAAGACGAATGCATACTCTGCTCTTGTCAGGAGGAGTGATCTCTGCTGTGGCCTCATTTGTTGATGGGTGGATCAGTGTTCTTACCTATTCTGTTTTGTAAGGTTATCGATTACTGAGAGGAATGTTACAATCTCTACTGTAATTGTGGATTTGTCTTTTTTGTCCTTTCATTTTTGCCAGATTTCACTTCAGTGTTTTTAGCCTCTGTTATTAGGTATATACAGACTTAGGTTTGTCATTATTTTTTTTATGAATTGTGCCCTTTATTATCATGAAATGATTAGTTTTTGCACTGTATGTATTTTTTATTTCCTTTTCTTTTAACTTCTTTTTATTTATAGTCCATTTCTCCTAGATAGCATGTAGTCAGGTCTTGCTTTTTAAATTTAATCTGATAATCTCTACCTTTTTGATTAGAATTTTAAGTCCTTTTATATTTAATGTATTGTCAAAATGGCTGGTTTAAATCTTACCGTCTTGCTAATTGCTTTTCTATTTTATTCCATCCATCCTTTGCTCCTCTTTCCCCGGTTCCTTGTCTTGTTTTAGAATTAATGAAATATATACACAGGTATATAATTACTTAATAACATATATTACATATATAAATATAAATTTTGTATTTATAAACTAATAGAGATGTATACGTTATATATAATTAATTATATATTAAATTTATATATAATGTAAATTTATATACATTATATATATATATAAAACAACGTGTATTTTTAGTATTGCATTTTATTTCCACTACTGACTTACTAGCTACACATCTTTTTCATCTTTTTTTTTTAATAAATTTATTTATTTAATTTATTTATTTTTGGCTGCATTGGGTCTTCATTGCTGCGCACAGGCTTTCTCTAGTTGCAGTGAGCGGGGGCTACTCTCTTCACTGCGGTGCGTGAGCTTCTCATTGCGGTGGCTTCTCTTGTTGTGGAGCATGGGCACTAGGCACGCGAGCTTCAGTAGTTGTGGCTCGTGGGTTCTAGAGCACAGGCTCAGTAGTTGTGGCACATGGGCTTAGTTGCTCTGTGGCATGTGGGATCTTCCTGGGCCAGGGCTTGAACCCGTGTCCCCTGCACTGGCAGGTGGATTCTTAACCACTGTGCCACCAGGGAAGTCCCTATTTTGCCTTTATTTTTGAAGGACAGTTTGCTAGATGTAGAATTCATGGTTAACAAAGTTTTTCTTTCAGCAATTTGAATATACTGTTCCACTTATTTCTAGCTTCCGTGGTGTTGACTAGTAATTGTATTGCTGTACTAGTAAATGTGATGGGCCACTTCTCTCTTGTTGCTTTCAAAATTTTCTCTTTGTCTTTGACTTTTGAGAGATAGATAGATTATAATGTCTCTCCATGAAAATCTCTTTGGACTGAATATGTTTGGGGGGTCTTTAAGCTTCACATTCTTTCCCTTGAACATTTTGATGTGATTGTCTAGGTCTGGATCCCTTTGTGTTTGTCCTACTGGGGTTTGTTGAGCTTCTGAGATCCATAGATTGTTTTTAGCCATTATTCTTTCAAACATTTTTTTCTGCCTCCCTCTCTCTCTCTCCCTCTCTCTCTCTCTCTCTCTCTCTCTCTCTCGTTTCCTTCTGAGACTTCAACTACACATATATTGGTGCTCTTAATGTCATCTCACAGATCTCTGAGGCTCTATCCATTTTCCTTCAATCCTTTCCCCCTTGTTCTTCAAACTGGTTAATTTCTATCAATCTACAAGTTTTTTGTTTTGTTTGGTCTTTTTTTTTTTTCTTTTTCTGGCCGCACTGTGTGTCTTGAGGGATCTTAGTTCCCCGACCAGGGATTGAACCTGCGCCCTGGCAGTGAAAGTGCCGAGTCCTAACCACTGGACCACCAGGGAATTCCCCTAATCTACAAGTTTTTTGCTTCCTTCCACTGGCATCTCAGCCCTGCTATTGAGCCCCTCTAGTAAACTTTCAACTTCAGAGTTTCCGTTTGGCTTTTTTTTTTCTTAATATAATTTCTGTTTTTTATGACATTCTTTCTTCATTGGGCCATTGTCATCATATTTTTCATTAATTCTTTAAACATGCTCTCCTTCACTTTTTTGAATAAATTTATGAATGTTGCTTTGGAGTCTGTGCCAAATTCAACAGCTGTGGACATTCAAAGATTGTTTACATTAACTGCTCTGTTCCTCAGTGTGGATCATACTTGCTTGTTTCTTTGTGTGCCATGTAGTTTTCTTTTGAATGCTGGACATTACAGTTTATATATTACAATAACTCTGGATTCTGACTCTCTCCTTCAGAGTGGTAGTTATTGTTTTATTTGTGTGTTTGTTTAGTAACTTTCTTTGACTAAATCTGTGAAGCCATCTACTTTGTCTGTCCTGGCTCACCGCCATCACACCTGATCTCACAACCTCCCCGGCTCAGGGGCTGTGTGTCCTCCCGCGACCCCTGCATGTGCTCCCAGACCCAGCATCCAGGGTTACACCACCTCTGTGGTATACAGCCTCTCCTGGGCCCCTACCCCCAGCTCCACCCTCTGCTCTGCCCACCTGCAAGCCTCCACTGACTCATCCTTTCCCTTTGCAGTGTCTGGCCGGCAGTTGAAGCCTGAAGAGGCAGCTGCAGAAACAGCGGAGGACCACTCTGTAAGTGAGGTCCAGGGAGGATGTGCCCCACTCGTAGCCCCCACCCCCCTCCTTTCCTGGACTTGAGCAGAGCCCGAGTGGCTGAGGGTGACCTGATTCTCTCCTTCTGCCAGGTGACGGAAGGGTCTGTGGTTGAGATCATTCGGCCCCGGCCACAGGGGTCCTCACCCGTCTATGAGTACGTGACTGAGGGCGCCAGCTTCGGACTCCCGGTAAGCCTGCTCCACAGACAGCCACAGGCTCAGGGAAGGCTCAGGTGTGCAGCCACAGGTGACCACGCCTCCTGCATCCCCCTGTGTGGGCAACTCACGCACGCACCTGTGCAGCCACACTGCCCTGCCACAGCGGTGTCTGCTCGGCTGTCTTCTCTGACTCCTTGGTCCTTCACTGGAGCCCTCCCATCAGCTGGCCAGGACACACTTGAGATGGCACACGTGTGTGTGCGTGGGGAACAGACCTTGTACTCCTGTGTGTGACGGGGCACAGGATATGTGCACACATGTGCCCTCTCTGACAAGGAGACACAGACAGGGTCCCGCGGCCACCTCTGGAGACACCTGGGGGAAGGCATGGACCAGGCGTACTAAAGGCCTTATTCTTTTTTCAGAATTGTTTACATACTTCTTTTGGCCGTGCCGTGCGGTGGCATGTGGGATCTTAGTTCCCTGACCAGGGATCGAACCCGTGTCCCCTGCAGTGGAAGCACGGAGTCCTAACCACTGGACCGCCAGGGAAGTCCCAAAGGCCTCCTTCTTGTACTGTTTCTTTTTTGCCCCCTCTACTTGCGGACACGGGGGCTGGGCCCTGTGGGAATCACAAAGGCCCAGAGTCACCTTCCCCCTGGAGGAACTCAGCTCCCCCTGCACACAGCACACTCCGGGGGATCTAGCCCCTGAGCTGGGGCCTCCCCGAGTCCCTCCCGTCCCCTGGGCTGGGGCAGGTTGGTGACCCGCTGTCTGTCGCTGCTGCAGGAAGACACGCCAAGGAGGCGGAGGTCCTTGTGGAAGCGGGATTCGGGGGACTCGCAGACGCTTTCCAGGATGAGCCATCTGGAGGTGGGTGTGCCAGGAGCTGATGTGGGGGGGCGGCCCGTCCACACGGGCTCCAGCGGGGGAAGCCAGGGCCAGAGCGAGAAGGCGAGGAGCTGGAAAGCTGGCAGCGTGCCCCTGTGCCCTGGGGAAGGGCGTGCCACCTCCCTCATCAGGCCCGGGGGTGGGTAGGGGCTCCAGAACACTGGTCCAGGCCTTGCCCCAGACCCCTGTACTCTCATGGTGAAGGGCCCAGACTGCTGACCAGATGGACCCGGGTTCACGGACCTCAGTGTTCTCAGCTGTACAGTGGGTACAGCTGCTGCCTGCTGCATCCAAGGCCACGGAAGGGGCTGGGTTCTGTAGGCTCCCAGCCAGGAGGGTGCACTGCCTGCTGTCATTGGCGGCCCCAGCAATTCTAACTCTCTCCCAGACCCAGAGGAACTGTCGTGTCCGAGGTCAGGCTGGCCCTGCCGCTTCCGGTATTTTCCTCAGCATTTATGGCCCTCCTTGGTCTGAGCACCAGCTATCTTGTATGTGACTGGTGCTTGGAGTGAGTGTGGTGGTGAGCCGGGAGCTGATAAAGGAACGCTTTAGCCACGTGCAAACAGAAGACTCCCCCCCTCTGCTTGCTGAGCCCCGCTGGGCCCAGATGGCTGGGGCCAGGCTGCTCCTGAGTCCTGGCAGGTGGGGTCGGGGACAAGGGAGGCTGCTCCCAACTGAGACGGCAGCAGCCAGCTTCCCCCAGAGCCTGGACCCCGTGCCCGGGCTCAGCTGCCCAATGACGGGAGGACTCTGGGGTCCCTGGCCTCAGGGGAGGCAGCCTCCCAGCAGCCACACCCACTGTGGGATAGGCGTATGCTCACTGAGGCCCGATGTGCTTCTGCTCTAGTCCACGCAGGAGGCGACGGAGGAGACACTGAAGACCAAGGTGGAGGCTGGAGCCAGTGGCTACATTGTCACGGGCGGCGGAGACCAGGGGATCTTTGTCAAGCAAGTGCTGAAGGAGTCCTCAGCTGCCAACTTCAGCCTGAGAGAAGGTGCCACAGCCCCACCCCATGTCCCCCGGTGCCATCAGGATGGGGGGCCCAGAGAGTGATCGGCCACAGTGGACTCAGCATGGCCCCACTCCATGTCCCCCCGGAGCCATCAGGACTCAGGATGCTCCCATCCCCACGTCCCCGTGGTCCCATCAGGATTGGGTGGGGCCTGAGGGGGACAGGCCACAGTGGACTCAAGATGGCCCCATCCCCATGTCCCCGTGGTGCCATCAGGATGGGAGAGCCGGAGAGTGATGGGCCACAGTGGACTCAGATGAGTCGCTAGAGACTGCTTAGTTGTGTCCAGGCTGGGGCCACTCGCTCTGACAGGTTTTCTGCTTGGAAATGGGGGCTCCTTCCCACCCAGGGCTCAAGAGAAGGAAGGGGCCGGGCAGCCCGAGCAGGGTCGCCTCCTCGGTCACGCACCCCTGTGGACCCCTCCCATGAGGCCCGATGAGGTCCGGGGCACTAAGGTGCGGGGACCGCTCTGTCTTCGTCTAGGAGATCAGCTGCTCAGCACAACCATATTCTTTGACGACATTACATACGAAGATGCTCTCAAAATCCTTCAGTACTCAGAGCCTTACAAGGTTCAGTTCACAATCAAGCGGCAACTTCCCGCCCGGGAGGACGAGGAGGGAGCTTCTGGCGGCGCTCAGCGTGGCTCGAGGGGCAGCAAGAAGCAGGTGAGCTTGCATGGCCAGCAAAGCTGGGCCCAGCCAGGCTCTGGGTGCCCAGGCTGAGGCTGGGAGGGGATCCCCACTGCCCCCTCCCGTCCCCGGAGCCCCTGCCTCCGACTCCCTGTACAGGGGCCCAAAAGGTTCTCTCTCCCTGTTTCAGGACCAGGATATCGCCGATGGGCGCGCGGAGACCCCCACGGAGACGCTGCAGGAGGATGGAGACCAGGAGAGGCTCATCTCCAAGCCCAGGGAGGGCAGAGGCAGGCAGCCCCACAGGGAGCGGCTCTCCTGGCCCAAATTCCAAGCTCTAAAGAGCAAGCGTGGGCCAGGGCCCCGGAGGTCGCACAGCTCCTCGGAGGCCTACGAGCGAGGGGATGTGCCTGACCTGTCCCCCACGAGCACAGACACGGAGGCCCAGCTCCCAGAAGCAGGACCAGGCAGGCAGCGGAAGAGAAGTTTCCCGAACCTGAGATTCCGGGTGGGCTCAGGGAAGGGGCTGTCGGGCAGGGGAGCCCACAGGGGGACAGTCCAGGCTGGGGTCTTGGTGGAGACAGGGCCCTGGGATTCCGGGCGAGAGGCCGCTAGGGTTGCCGCACACGGCGGGAGAGAGGACAGGACGGCAGGGGCGCCAGAGGACGCCGAGCCCCCCACGGAGCCCGGCCTCCCCATTGAGGGAGCCCTGGGGGAAGGGGCCGGCCCAGCACCCAGACTCCGAAGAAAGACAAAAGAGGCCAGGGACAAGGGGGAGACTGTGCCCCAGAGAAAAGCCGGGGTGGGCCCAGCCCCTAGACAGAGCAGGGAGGGGGCTGGGGAAGGCACGCAGGCGCTGGAGATTGGCATTGCCAGGCTGTCTCTGCAAGCCTCAGCAGACCGAGGCAGCCACCAAAACCAGCAACCAGAATTCCACGTCCGCATACCCACTTTAAAGACACCCAGGTTTGGACTTCACAAAGAAAAAGTGCTCGAGAAGGAAGGAGCTGCGACAGCTCTCCAGCAGGGACCACGGCAGAGAAGGGTCTCTGCTGAGGGCATGGAGGCCAAGGGGGAGGATGCAGCTGAAGCAGAAGAGCACAGGACCAGGCAACCCCCAGCCCATCTGCCAGCACAAGAGGGAGGAGAAACGGAGGAAGATGCAGCCCAGAAGAGAGAAGACGACAGCAAGGGTGGGGGCCAGCACGTGGACGAAAAGGGGCGGGAGATGAAAATGCCACGGTTCAAGCTGCCCTCCTTTGGGTGGTCGCCAGCGAAGGAGGCAAAAGGAGACAAAGTGACACAACTCCAGGAAACAGAGAAGGAAAAGGAAAGCAGCATCACAGTAGTAACATTAGAGGCAGACAAAAAAGGCAAAGATGGACAAGAGAGAGACAGCAAGTTCAAAATGCCCAAGTTCAAGATGCCGTCCTTCGCGGTGTCAGCACCCAGAAAGTCTGTCGAGGCCGCCGAGGAGGTGTCCGTGCCCAAGGCCCAGGCCGAAGTGACCCGGCCCTCGGTGCAGGCTGACGGCAAGACCAGTGACCTCAGCATCGAGCTGCCCTCCGCCGAGTTGGAGGTCAAGGCCACTGAAGTGGGCGTGAAGCTCCCAGAGGGCGACCGTCCCAAAGCGGAGCCCAAGGAAGCGGCAGCGGGAATCGGACTCAAGGGCCGCCTGCCCAGGGTGCAGATGCCCAGCATCAAGGCCCCCCGTGTGGACATCAGGGCCGCCCAGGTGGACATCAAGGGGCTCAAACTGGACCTGCAGGACGCCAAGGGCGAGGTGACGACGCCTGACGTGGAGGTGTCCCTGGCCAGCGTGGAGGTGGACACAGAGGACGCAGGCAGCAAGCTGGAGGGCGACGTGTCCCTGGGGGACAAGGAGGTGGCCGCCAGAGACAGCAAGTTCAAAATGCCCAAGTTCAAGATGCCGTCCTTCAGGGTTTCAGCGCCCAGCAAGTCTGTCGAGGCCACCGTGGAGGTAACCCCGCCCTCGGTGCAGGCTGACAACAAGACCAGTGACCTCAGCTTCGAGCTGCCTTCCACCGAGCTGGAGGTCAAGGCCACCGAAGTGGGCGTGAAGCTCCCAGAGAGCCACATTGCCAAAGCAGAGCCCCAGGAGGTGGCAGCGGGAATTGGAGTCAAGGGCCACCTGCCCAAGGTGCAGATGCCCAGCATCAAGATGCCCAAGGTGGACATCAAGGGGCCCAAACTGGACCTGCAGGACGCCAAGGGCGAGGTGACGACGCCTGACGTGGAGGTGTCCCTGGCCAGCGTGGAGGTGGACACAGAGGACGCAGGCAGCAAGCTGGAGGGCGACGTGTCCCTGGGGGACAAGGAGGTGGCCGCCAGAGACAGCAAGTTCAAAATGCCCAAGTTCAAGATGCCGTCCTTCAGGGTTTCAGCGCCCAGCAAGTCTGTCGAGGCCACCGTGGAGGTAACCCCGCCCTCGGTGCAGGCTGACAACAAGACCAGTGACCTCAGCTTCGAGCTGCCTTCCACCGAGCTGGAGGTCAAGGCCACCGAAGTGGGCGTGAGGCTCCCAGAGGGCCACATTGCCAAAGCAGAGCCCAAGGAAGTGGCAGCGGGAATTGGAGTCAAGGGCCACCTGCCCAAGGTGCTGATGCCCAGCATCAAGGTGGACATCAAGGGCCCCAAACTGGACCTGAAGGACGCCAAAGGCGAGGTGACGGCCCCCGACATGGAGGTGTCGCTGCGCAGCGTGGAGGTGGACACCCAGGCCGCGGGCATCATTCTGGCGGGCGACGTGTCCCTTGGGGACAAGGAGGTGGCCGCCAGAGACAGCAAGTTCAAAATGCCCAAGTTCAAGATGCCATCCGTTGGGTTGTCAGCGCCCAGCAAGTCCGTCCAGGCCGCCGTGGAGGTGTCCGTGCCCAAGGCCCAGGCCGAAGTGACCCTGCCCTCGGTGCAGGCCGACGTCAAGACCAGTGACCTTAGCATCGAGCTGCCCTCCGCCGAGCTGGATGTCAAGGCTGTCGAGGTGGGTGTGAAGCTCCCGGAGGGCCACCTTCCCGAAGCGGAGCCCAAGGAAGCGGCAGCGGGAATCGGACTCAAGGGCCACCTGCCCAAGGTGCCTGGACCCAGCATCAAGGTGCCCGAGGTGGACATCAAGGCCCCCCAGGTGGACATCAAGGGGCCCAAACTGGAACTGCAGGACGCTAAGGGCGAGGTGACGATCCCCGATGTGGAGGTGTCTCTGCCCAGCATGGAGGTGGACACCCAGGCTGCGGGCACCAAGCTGGAGAGTGATGTGTCACTTGGGGACAAGGAGGTGGCTGCTAGAGACAGCAAGTTCAAAATGCCCAAGTTCAAGATGCCGTCCTTCGGGGTGTCGGCACCCAGAAAGTCTGTCGAGGCCGCCGAGGAGGTGTCCGTGCCCAAGGCCCAGGCCGAAGTGACCCGGCCCTCGGTGCAGGCTGACGGCAAGACCAGTGACCTCAGCATCGAGCTGCCCTCCGCCGAGTTGGAGGTCAAGGCCACTGAAGTGGGCGTGAAGCTCCCAGAGGGCGACCGTCCCAAAGCGGAGCCCAAGGAAGCGGCAGCGGGAATCGGACTCAAGGGCCGCCTGCCCAGGGTGCAGATGCCCAGCATCAAGGCCCCCCGTGTGGACATCAGGGCCGCCCAGGTGGACATCAAGGGGCTCAAACTGGACCTGCAGGGCGCCAAGGGCGAGGTGACGACGCCTGACGTGGAGGTGTCCCTGGCCAGCGTGGAGGTGGACACAGAGGACGCAGGCAGCAAGCTGGAGGACGACGTGTCCCTGGGGGACAAGGAGGTGGCCGCCAGAGACAGCAAGTTCAAAATGCCCAAGTTCAAGATGCCGTCCTTCAGGGTTTCAGCGCCCAGCAAGTCTGTCGAGGCCACCGTGGAGGTAACCCCGCCCTCGGTGCAGGCTGACAACAAGACCAGTGACCTCAGCTTCGAGCTGCCTTCCACCGAGCTGGAGGTCAAGGCCACCGAAGTGGGCGTGAAGCTCCCAGAGAGCCACATTGCCAAAGCAGAGCCCCAGGAGGTGGCAGCGGGAATTGGAGTCAAGGGCCACCTGCCCAAGGTGCAGATGCCCAGCATCAAGATGCCCAAGGTGGACATCAAGGGGCCCAAACTGGACCTGCAGGACGCCAAGGGCGAGGTGACGACGCCTGACGTGGAGGTGTCCCTGGCCAGCGTGGAGGTGGACACAGAGGACGCAGGCAGCAAGCTGGAGGGCGACGTGTCCCTGGGGGACAAGGAGGTGGCCGCCAGAGACAGCAAGTTCAAAATGCCCAAGTTCAAGATGCCATCCGTTGGGTTGTCAGCGCCCAGCAAGTCCGTCCAGGCCGCCGTGGAGGTGTCCGTGCCCAAGGCCCAGGCCGAAGTGACCCTGCCCTCGGTGCAGGCCGACGTCAAGACCAGTGACCTTAGCATCGAGCTGCCCTCCGCCGAGCTGGATGTCAAGGCTGTCGAGGTGGGTGTGAAGCTCCCGGAGGGCCACCTTCCCGAAGCGGAGCCCAAGGAAGCGGCAGCGGGAATCGGACTCAAGGGCCACCTGCCCAAGGTGCCTGGACCCAGCATCAAGGTGCCCGAGGTGGACATCAAGGCCCCCCAGGTGGACATCAAGGGGCCCAAACTGGACCTGAAGGACGCCAAGGTCAAGGTGACGGCCTCCGACGTGGAGATGTCGCTGCCCAGCGTGGAGGTGGACACCCAGGCCGCGGCCATCATTCTGGCGGGGGATGTGTCCCTTGGGGACAAGGAGGTGGCCGCCAGAGACAGCAAGTTCAAAATGCCCAAGTTCAAGATGCCATCCGTTGGGGTGTCAGCGCCCAGCAAGTCTGTCAAGGCCACCGTGGAGGTGTCCTTGCCCAAGGCCCAGGCCAAGGTGACCCAGCCCTCGGTGCAGGCCGATGGCAAGACCAGTGAACTCAGCATCGAGCTGCCCTCCGCCGAGCTGGAGGTCAAGGCCACCGAAGTGGGCGTGAGGCTCCCAGAGGGCCACATTGCCAAAGCAGAGCCCAAGGAAGTGGCAGTGGGAACTGGAGTCAAGGGCCACCTGCCCAAGGTGCTGATGCCCAGCATCAAGGTGCCCAAGGTGGACATCAAGGGCCCCAAACTGGACCTGAAGGACGCCAAAGGCGAGGTGACGGCCCCCGACATGGAGGTGTCGCTGCGCAGCGTGGAGGTGGACACCCAGGCCGCGGGCATCATTCTGGCGGGCGACGTGTCCCTTGGGGACAAGGAGGTGGCCGCCAGAGACAGCAAGTTCAAAATGCCCAAGTTCAAGATGCCATCCGTTGGGTTGTCAGCGCCCAGCAAGTCCGTCCAGGCCGCCGTGGAGGTGTCCGTGCCCAAGGCCCAGGCCGAAGTGACCCTGCCCTCGGTGCAGGCCGACGTCAAGACCAGTGACCTTAGCATCGAGCTGCCCTCCGCCGAGCTGGATGTCAAGGCTGTCGAGGTGGGTGTGAAGCTCCCGGAGGGCCACCTTCCCGAAGCGGAGCCCAAGGAAGCGGCAGCGGGAATCGGACTCAAGGGCCACCTGCCCAAGGTGCCTGGACCCAGCATCAAGGTGCCCGAGGTGGACATCAAGGCCCCCCAGGTGGACATCAAGGGGCCCAAACTGGAACTGCAGGACGCTAAGGGCGAGGTGACGATCCCCGATGTGGAGGTGTCTCTGCCCAGCATGGAGGTGGACACCCAGGCTGCGGGCACCAAGCTGGAGAGTGATGTGTCACTTGGGGACAAGGAGGTGGCTGCTAGAGACAGCAAGTTCAAAATGCCCAAGTTCAAGATGCCGTCCTTCGGGGTGTCGGCACCCAGAAAGTCTGTCGAGGCCGCCGAGGAGGTGTCCGTGCCCAAGGCCCAGGCCGAAGTGACCCGGCCCTCGGTGCAGGCTGACGGCAAGACCAGTGACCTCAGCATCGAGCTGCCCTCCGCCGAGTTGGAGGTCAAGGCCACTGAAGTGGGCGTGAAGCTCCCAGAGGGCGACCGTCCCAAAGCGGAGCCCAAGGAAGCGGCAGCGGGAATCGGACTCAAGGGCCGCCTGCCCAGGGTGCAGATGCCCAGCATCAAGGCCCCCCGTGTGGACATCAGGGCCGCCCAGGTGGACATCAAGGGGCTCAAACTGGACCTGCAGGACGCCAAGGGCGAGGTGACGACGCCTGACGTGGAGGTGTCCCTGGCCAGCGTGGAGGTGGACACAGAGGACGCAGGCAGCAAGCTGGAGGGCGACGTGTCCCTGGGGGACAAGGAGGTGGCCGCCAGAGACAGCAAGTTCAAAATGCCCAAGTTCAAGATGCCGTCCTTCAGGGTTTCAGCGCCCAGCAAGTCTGTCGAGGCCACCGTGGAGGTAACCCCGCCCTCGGTGCAGGCTGACAACAAGACCAGTGACCTCAGCTTCGAGCTGCCTTCCACCGAGCTGGAGGTCAAGGCCACCGAAGTGGGCGTGAAGCTCCCAGAGAGCCACATTGCCAAAGCAGAGCCCCAGGAGGTGGCAGCGGGAATTGGAGTCAAGGGCCACCTGCCCAAGGTGCAGATGCCCAGCATCAAGATGCCCAAGGTGGACATCAAGGGGCCCAAACTGGACCTGCAGGACGCCAAGGGCGAGGTGACGACGCCTGACGTGGAGGTGTCCCTGGCCAGCGTGGAGGTGGACACAGAGGACGCAGGCAGCAAGCTGGAGGGCGACGTGTCCCTGGGGGACAAGGAGGTGGCCGCCAGAGACAGCAAGTTCAAAATGCCCAAGTTCAAGATGCCGTCCTTCAGGGTTTCAGCGCCCAGCAAGTCTGTCGAGGCCACCGTGGAGGTAACCCCGCCCTCGGTGCAGGCTGACAACAAGACCAGTGACCTCAGCTTCGAGCTGCCTTCCACCGAGCTGGAGGTCAAGGCCACCGAAGTGGGCGTGAAGCTCCCAGAGAGCCACATTGCCAAAGCAGAGCCCCAGGAGGTGGCAGCGGGAATTGGAGTCAAGGGCCACCTGCCCAAGGTGCAGATGCCCAGCATCAAGATGCCCAAGGTGGACATCAAGGGGCCCAAACTGGACCTGAAGGACGCCAAGCGTGTGGTACTCACAAAATACCAGGTGACTCTCCCTGGAGCTGCCGTCTCCCCAGAGCTCCCTCTGGAAGCGGCCCCTTGTTCCCAGAACGATGCCTATCTTCCCAGCTCAGAAAGTTCTGCCAGTCTTCCAGCCCAGGAGAGAGTTGCAGCATCCCAGACTGACAGTCCCGCAGGCCCTTTGGACCCCATGTTTCTTGCATCATATGGTCGGGTGAGTTTTCCTAAGTTTCATCCACCAAAGTTCGGGTTTTCTGTCCCAGAAGCAGCCGATGCAGAGGTGGAGGCCGGTGCCGGGGATTGTGCCCCCTTTCTATCCACTACTGGCCCTGCCCGGGGCCTGGACTCCGCAGCTATGCCGCGCAGTGCGTGGCCGTCGGCAGTGGCTGCAGGTGAGACCCCAGCTAAAGATTCTGAACGTGGAGGGAAAGATAGTCCCTTAAAAATGCCGTGGATCAAGCTTCCGTCATTCAGGTGGTCCCCAAAGAAGGGGGCGGTGCCCCCAGAGGACCCTGAACGCAGCCTGGACGACGCAGAGCTCAGCGTGGCTGTGGACACGGGTCACAAGGGTGCGCCCCCTGCGCGTCCTGCGTCTGCAGTGGAGGTGGCTGTGGCCGCGCTTCCGGAGAAGGCCGGAGAGGCGAGCGGCATGAAGGCACCTGGCTGCGCTGTGCTGGAACACGCACCTGTCACAGAGCCACACCTGTCTCCTGCAGGGGCACCTGCTGCAGTCCTTTCCCCTTCCGAGGCCAGGGTCCATCCAGGCGCAGGCTCCCTCCCTCTTCAGATGCCCAGCGGCAGGCTTCCAGGAACCCAGGCCCCTCCTGCTGGGCCTGCAGGACTGGTCCTTGCTGTGGGGCAGGGGCGGGCAGAGGAATGGTCCTCCCAGCCTGAAGGCCCCATTAAACTGAAGGCGTCCAGGACCGACGGGCCGTCCCAGGTTTCTGTCGTTAACATGGGTCAGCCCTGGGAAGGCTCCGTGGTAACTGTCAGACTGCCCAGGTTGAGCATGCCAAGGTTCGCCTTTCCTGACCCCAGCTCCGAGGCCGACGTCTTTATCCCCGCCGTGACAGAAGTGCGGTGCCCAGGGAGCAGCCTTGCCCACGCCCTGCACGAGGAGAGCCCGGGAGTCTGGGGTGCCAGCATCCTGAAGGCAGGTGCTGGGACCCCCGGGGAGCAGCCCGTGGCCCTTGACGTCTCCCCGGAAGCTTCCCCCATTTCCAAGGTCAGAGTGCACATTCAGCGTGCGCAGGGAGAAAGCCCCGAGGTCGCCGTCCACAGCAGGGCAACGGCAGAGTTGGCTGACCTCTCGGGACCCGAGGCTATTTCCACCCGGGTCGTGCGGCAACTGGAGATCCCCGCGTCTGAGATCCAAACGGCTTCTTATGGATTCTCGTTGCTAAAGGTGAAGATGCCGGAGCCCCGCACGCGGGTGAGTGTCCGAGACTCCCGGCTGAGGGAGGGCCTGCAGGAAGCTTCCAAACAAGCCGCCCTGGGAGCAGAGCCTGCCTCTGGAGGTCTGCAGCCGGACACCGGAGAACCGTTTGAAGTGATCTCGCCCAGTGTCAATGTGCCTGGACGGCCAATGTTCACGCCCAAAGTGCACTCTGGCCACCGGGGTGCCGACAGCTGCTCCGACAAGGACGAGGCTGCGGAAGTTCTCGCATTTCCCCCTAAAGAAGACAGTGGGGAGGCGGCTGCCCCTCTGGCAGAGGAAGACACGGCTCCGAGAGAGAAGCCAGAAGGTAAAAGATCTGGTCTGTTCAGGTTTTGGCTTCTGAACATTGGGTTTTCTTCCTCTGCCGAAGAGCCACGCGCTGATTCCAAAGGTGAAGCCCGCGCGGCGGCTGCCCAGACACAGCCTGGGGCGCGGCCCGAGGCCGAGCTCCCTAAGAAGCCCCAGAAGACGGGCTGGTCTCGGTTTCCCTCATTAGGGCTCGCCTCCTCCCCCACCAAGAAAGGCGAAAGCTCTGAAGACGAGGCAGCTCTGGCAGAGCAAAACCCCCAAGAACAAGCGGTCGTGTTCTTTGATGCCCCAGAAAGCTTCTCCCCAGAGGGTGAGGGGGACGGGGGGCCGGCGGAGACTGCGGGCGCCAGAGCGATGGCCACGTCCACGGCAAGGACGGGGCTGGTCCTGCTGGAGCAGGACCCAGAGGGCGGGATGCACCTGCGCCCGGGCCCACCACCAAGTGAGGACAGACGGACAGACGAAAGGAGGCCCTGCGAAGCTCCCACCGTGAGGACGCGTGTGTCCACCTTGATTCACAGCACCGAGAGCAAAGCAGAGATGCCTGAGAGCGGCGGAGCCCCACCCTCACACAGCCCTCCCGAAATGGGACCCCAAACGTGCCGGCCCCCCAGGGCCTCGGCAGCAGAGGCAGCACCCGGACTCCCCACGAGGCCCCGGCCCCACGCAGGGTCCTGCGCTCCTGGGGGTCTTTGTTAGACACATGTTACTCGAGATCCCTGCCCACGAGGCCCTCGAGAACACAACTGCTGCTTGGAGAAGGGGCTGTGACGGCCGTGGGTGCAGAAGTCGTTTGGGGTTCAACTCCTGTCCTGCTGCCGCCTCCTGGTGAAGGTAGTTTCACTCCTTCCGGCAGAGTGCGGCATATTCCAGGAGACCCCACTCCCCGCTCGCTGGCAACCAGCTCACTCCGCCGTTGGATGTCTCGCCGCCAGCGCGGCAAGCTTTGGGATGCTTTGTGTGACGATGCACGCGCCCTGGGCTGGGGGCGGGCGAGCCAGCAGAGGTCGTTCAGACGCCGTGAGTTCCCACGAGACGGTCTGTGGGCGTCCGCTTGCCCGCGGCACCCCCACCCCGCCCCCGGCGTGCCCAGCCCCCTTAGTGTACCCGCTGCGGCCAGGCTGCAGACGGGACCTGCCTGGCTGCTCCCTGGACCCTGGACGGGCAATAAATCCACTGCTGCTTCCCCAGTGCTGACTCTGCGAGGCCTTTGTTCTGGCTGGAATGCATCCCTGCGCTCCCCCACGCGCTCCTGTCCTAAATGCTCCTAGGTTGCTCGAGAAAGCAGAGTCAAGGGCGGCTCACTCACTCATCCGTTTGCCTGTCCAGACCCTCCTCTGAGCCAGCGGCTGCGAGAGACCAAGAGGAAGGAGGCGAGGGCCCAGGAGTCCACAGTGTGGCTGGGGCGGCAGCGCAAGGCGTGGGTGGTGGGCACAGCAGGGACAGCACACAGGGGCCCTTGGCCTCGGGGGCCGGGGATGGGGAGCTGGGTCCTCGGCCACGATGGGGGCCCATCTCAGAGGCCTCCTTTGCCATGGTGGCCCTCCGCCCCAAGCAGCCCACGGGAAGCAGATTCAGAACAAGGTTGGAGGAGTTTCCTATGAACTTCCAGGGGTCAGATCTCCCGGCTGCCTTCAGACGCCGCTCAGGGGCCCGTGGGCACGAGGCGCTAGGAGTGGGAGCTGGAGCCTGTCCCACCTCCCTTCTGCTTGGGGAGGAGCGGCTGCTCCTGGGGCTGGGGCTACAGGAAGAGGGCTGGGCGGGGGCTGCTCCTGGGGCGGGGGCTACAGGAAGAGGGCGGGGCGGGGGGGGGCGTGTTGGGGGCATGCTGGGCCCAGAGGGCATCCTGCCGCCCCCGAGGCTACTCCCCCCAACACCCCCCCCACCTCATGCTGCCCCGAGAGAGCCTGGGAGGCTGGGTCCTTCCGCCTGGCCACCATGGGAAGTCCGAACTCCCGTGGCCGGCTGGGAAGGTCCCCCAAGATAGGGGATGTGGAACCCTCAGGAAGGTGGGGCGGGGGGAGGGAAAGCTCAGTGGGGACTGGGTCCCGCAGTCAAGGAGGCTGCAGTAGCCTCTCCCAGCCCCAGCCTTGCCCTGCCCATCAGACAGACTTGGGGAGCACAGCCCCCGGGAACACTGCGGTGGGGGTCTGCCTGGCTCCATGGGTTTCATTCCTCTCTGAACCCAGTGTCAGGCGTGAGACATCGCAGCCTTGGTGCTGGAGGCCGAGCAGGCGGCTGTCAGCCCGTGGGGAGCCGCTGACAGCACAGGCCCTTCCACCTTCCGTGTGGCCTCTGTTCTGTGTGACGTGTGTGAGCCACCTGCACTGTGTGACAACATCACCACAAGTGAGTGGCTTGAAACAACACACATTTATGATCCCCCAGTCTCTGTGGGTCAGGAGTCCAAGCGCAGCTTAGCCGGGACCTAAGGCGCCGCCATCAAGGCACTGGCCAGGCTGCTGTCTCATCTCCAGACTCAACTGGGGAAGGAACCACTTCCCACACTCACAAGGCTGCTGGGTGCAGGCCGGGTGGCTGAGGGCCCTGTTTCTTGCTGGCTGGAGGCTGGAGGCCGCTCCTGGGGCACTGCCCTGCGGGCCTCTCCATAGGACAGCTCACGGGAGTCTCCTTCATCAAGCCAGCAAGGGTCGGCCCCCGGCAAGATGCTGTTACCACCTCGTGTCACATAACCACCTCTGTGCATTCTACCTGTCGCAGGCGAGACAGCTAGTGCCCTCCCTCGAAGGAGGGGTCACGCAAGGGCCTGGGTTCCAGGGTCCCAGGAGGCAGGGTCTGTCCCCCACACCCCAGAAGGGGTCCCCGGGCCTCTCATGCCTCATCAAGCTGGGCCTCCTGTGACGGGGGTCTGCTTTGGAGGCCTTTGAGGCTGCCACTGAGGTGTGGCCACCAGACCCACAGTGTGTGAAGTGGGCCTTGCACTGGCTGTGGCCTTTCACCCTGTTGCCCCGCCATAGCCTGGCGCACAGAGCCCTCCTGGACCACGGCTCATCAGCCTAAGGAGCAGAGGGCCTGGGGTCTGCTGCTCCTGGGGCGCTGCCCTGCAGCACGGTTGCGGTGGGAGTGGGGTGCCGCCAGGGGCAGCTCATACACAGACCAGCACCCAGAGGCCCTGGGCGCCTCTCAGGCCGCGTGGAGCCGTGGCACTCTCTCCAGATCCCCGCGGGTCTGGGCAGGGAGACAGGCTGGGTTTGGGGATCTTCCCCGCAGAGGAGGACACTCACGTCAAAGGCGTCCAACAGTAACCCAGCCAGGTCTCCCTGGGGCCGAGATGACGCAGGAGCTGGGGAGCAGTGGCCCGGGGTGGGGCCTGACGCAGGAGCTGGGTCGCTCAGCTCCCTCAGCGGCCAGGATCTCCTGGACATTGAGCCAGCCCCCAACTCTAGCCTCGGGTGCCCTGGGGGTCTCTGCGAGGGCAGGTGGGCTCTGAAGCCGTGGTCAGAAACCAGAAGGTGGCGAGGCCAGGGCCGAGACAGGCTTCTGACCCAGCATTCCTAGCAGAAGGGCCAGAACCGAGTTGTCAGACCAGGATTCAGCTCCTGCCTCTGCAGGGCAGGTGCTGGGCGAGGCCCAAGGGAGGCTGAGCTCCAATGAGGCTGCATCCAAACCCCATCCTGGCTGGTGTCACCCTCCCCCCAGCTCAAACCCAGGTCCTCTCCACCCTACAAGTCGACCGCCCGGTTCCTAGCCCCTTATACACCGGGACTGGCTGCCACGAGCAGCTTGGCCTCTGCAGGCCTGGTCCCACCGCCGCAGGCGCCAGCCCCGCCCCCATCAGGCCTGGTCCCACCACCCCAGGCGCCAGCCCCGCCCCCATCAGGCCTGGGCCCACGCACCCCAGGCGCCAGCCCCGCCCCCTGCTCTGTCCCTGGGTTCCTGTGGGCGGGAGGCTGGACGCTGGCGAGAGTCAGGGGCTAGCGTGGCGGAAGCCCAGCCCCGCCTCAATGTGGCCTCGTGGACACAGGCGCCTCCCAGGTGGGTAGAGGCTGAACTCCAGCCTGGGGCTGAGAAGGTGGGACGCAGCCTGACCCAGGACTCACAGGAGAAACAGGGAGGCACACAGTATTGTAAAGGCTCCGTGTGTGGGCAGGAATTGCGGCTCTGTGGGAGCCAGGGAGGGCATCCTGGAGGGCTCCGTGGAGGAGGTGGGGTTTAAGAGGGGCTAGATTTGGAGAGCAAACAGTTTGCGCCTGCCCTGCATTGGGCAGTCCTGCCCCTGACCAGGGCTTGTGCGGATGGAGCTGCTCGGGGTCCAGAGTGGGGGTCAGGCAGGGAGGCCTGGTCGGGAGCAGTGGGGCTCCGCAGCCAGGAAGGGCTGGACGTCAGCCCTGCCAAACACAGTCCTGGGCCTGGGCCTGTCCGTCCAGGCCTACAGCATAGCGGGAGCTCCAGTCTCGCTCAAACAGTTGCCGCAGCTGCCCCTGCACAGTGGCCGCCCCTGGCTGGGCGCTGGAGGCCCTCTGGCTGACCACCAGGCCCACACCCGAGGTGCTGCTGAAGTAATCTTCGGACCAGTTGGAAGTGCCTGTGGGCGGAGACGCTGGGTTACTGGGCCGCACGGGGGGGTCCTCTTCTGCCTGGTCCAGCCCGATGGCCCCAAGCGGCCACTCTGCCGTGGTCCGACTCCAGCCCTGCAGCCTCTCTGGCGCTGAGTGCAGCCTGCTCTTAACGTGAGGGACTGCACCCCAGCAACCCACGGACTCAGTGCTTGGGGGGCTCGGTGCCAGGGGTCCCCACCTGCCTCCATGGGGGAGGGCCTGAGCCCTTCAGCAGGTCCCCGCCCGGGGTCCACGCTGGACGGAAGAACAGCGACCCCTTCAACACCCGGCCTGGCCACCGCCCGGGGCGACACGATCGCTTCTGTGGGCCTGTGTGCCCTCTGCTGGTGTCCACTGGCTCGACAGCCCACAAGGACTCGGGGTCCTGAGCCGCTGCCCACAGCCC